CAACAACAAATTTTGGCATTACAGAATAACCCACCTAATATACAACGTATAGGTATGGCAGGATATATACCACCAAGATTTAGTGGAAATTACGATGAAGATATCGACTATTTTATCAATGAATTCAGAAGGTATTTAACTGCTTCTGGAAACAATTTGGCAAATAATGCAGATAGGATCGGTGCACTAGGCTTTTTAAGTCATGCTTAAAAGGTAAAGCGGGTGAATGGCTTGAAAGAGAGATAGCGGGTAAAAATTGGGAATTATCCAATATTATCTCTACCGTAAATTGTACTTTGGCACAATTATAAGGCGATGGACAAGCACAAATTGTAGGACATTTATTATCTATGGTACCAGCTGGACTTAATGCACAACTTGTGATGGCCGATGTTGGTGCTGGTGCTTTAGTGATTCCCAGACATACAGTTTTCAATGAAGATTGGACGCCAGCAGGAGGTAAGCTAATATCTAAAGTTGTGTATGCACCAAATGCAAATTTGCCAAATAGAACAGTTGTATTAGTCGACATTACTCTTGGGCAATTAATTGATTACTTTAAAGGAAATTATCCCACTGTTAGGCAACAGTATTAGCAAGCATTATTTGGTATAACAGTGCAAGGTAGCGATTCTGTAGGTTCTTATTATACCAAACTCAAGAAGATTGCAAGACATGCTAATATGGGAGATGATGAATTCTGCCATAGATTTCTTGGAGGACTTTCTTCAGATAATCAAATGGAAGTTCATCGTATGGGGCTTAGTAGACTTATTGATGAAATCTTTTCATCTTTAGAAGAGATTGAGAGATATAAAGCTGAATTAGTTTCTGATGCCAACCCTCTTTTGCAATCCCAGCAATACATACAACCCTCTCAATCATATCCATCGGCCGAGATTGAGAAGTTAAATTCTCAAATTGCATCTCTACAAGCGCAAATGGCTCAAACAAACCAGATGCGCTCTCAGAATATTCAAAAACCTCTAGACAAAAAGGAGTTAGAGTTTTTATATGTGCTTGCAGAACGTTTAGGTGCTATACTAAGTTTGCTTGAAACATATAATAGTTTAGCTCTCAATAGTTATATCAATGAGGAATTAGAATGAAGGTTAGGAA